AACTGTGTCTTTCTAAATGTCTTAGGGAGAAAACAGTTCCCTGCTGTAGTGGAATGGGACTGAATTTCAGCCGAGCGAGGTTGAATTTCAGCCAACGAAGGTCAAAATCCAGACAAAAATGGGGTATACTGGTGTTGTGGCAGGCTTATTCAATGTATGATCCTATACTGTAAATTAACCCCATTATTTTTGCCTAGGTTAGGTGTTTTTAGAAAACAATTTCATTCTGTGAGATTTGAAATTGCTGTTTAGTGAGTGAGTGCGCCGAATCTTGAATGTTGTATGAATTAGCTCCAGCATCACCCTTATAATATATGCATGCTCAGGTGAACCAGGTGAGTGTAGCCCTCTTAACCCCTTAAGGACACATGATGGAAATATTCCGTCATGATTCTCTTTTATTACAGAAGTTGTGTCCTTGAGGGGTTAATATATGCGCTGAATCATGTATTTGATTATATATTGTGACAAATGCTCTTTTCCATGGATGTGTGCCATGAACTCCTGGAGGAGTGTGGAAGCTGGCCTCCTGCCCATCGACTATGGTCCAGGTCTGAGACTCCATTTGGGAGTTACCCTGTCCAGCCGCCATTAGCAGCTTTCCCTTGGTGCCCCTGGTTCAGCTCATTCCCTTCTCACGAATTGAACAGAATGCTAGCTTTTTTGGCTAGGTGACTGTGCGGTTCTAAGGAAACTTGGTCCAGTTTTTTGAATCACTTTGCGACCCACCAGGAGAGTGATTTTTGAAGGGAAGATGCCTCAGAATAAGGGGAGCAAACGCTCTCTGAGAGTCAGATGGAGCACCACATATTTTTTCTGCAGGAGTAATCGAAAGTTTACCGGCATAAACACCAAACGCTCTACTATTTTGTGCTAGGACCATGTGTGCAGCCAGTCAGAACTTTGCCCCGGTGGCGATTCCCCTACACTGCATGGATCTGAGTGCTATTTAGACAGCATGGGCGCTGTTTGGGGATATAGGACATGTGGGGTTACTGTATGTTTTTATTATGTTTTGAGGTACTTTTATGTATTTATGTTTAGCTCTGTTTCTAGGAGATGATTAGCTTACTGGTCTTTAACTCAATTATCTCCCAGGCACAGAGAGTGGCTTGTATTGTATTGAATTAAGACCCCATCATAGGGTCGTATATATAAGCAGGCAACTTGGCCTAAATAAACCAGGTCCTTTTCACCCTTCACTCAGTCTTGACTAGTATTTGGGTGGACCAGCTATACTCTCTGCAGGAGAGCTTAATCACTTGAAGCTGTACCGAGGACCCTATTCCAGGGCGGAAAGCGATGGAGAGACGCCAGCCATGGCTAGTGGCTGAAGCACTATGGGTGTCCTGGTGGATAGCTAGGAAATTAGCATGATGGAGGTACCCAGCCGGGGTACCTGGCAGTCCTTCACACACACACACACATATATATATAATGTGGTTGGACTGGGATTCAAACATGGGGTTCCCAGTTATAAAACAGTTGTCAGCTCCTTTATACTTACCCTGGTGGTCCACCATGATGCAAATGCTCTGATTCGGCGGACCGCCGTTCCTATGCAGTTTGAGCTGTGCCCCCGCCCCTTTTTATGACCCAGCCCACACCTGCCAGCATCATGATGTCACAAGAGCTCTAAGTAATAGAGCCAGCACATATGCACCTTTTGTGTGTGTGGTTATGCTAACCGCGCCCCGAAACATATAAAATCCCAGTCTGCCCAAAGTACAGTGCCCTGGTGTTACTAGTGTCCCTATAGCGCATTATTTTGTCCAGTTTGGTATTGATTGGTATTGACCCGGCTTGCTCTTGACTACTCTGTTTCCTGGCTCCCTTGGCTCGGCTTTGTTTATCGATCTTGTGTATTTCTGGTTCCCCTTACTAAGCTTTTGTCTCTCATATTAGTGTATTTCTGGCTTCCCTTTACTTTGGCTCTTTCTGACTCTCCTTGAATTATTATTTATTTTCTATTAACCAGCCATTCTAAGGGCCGTTTCGAGACTTTCTATCTGTCTCCATTTATTTACCGGTAGGATTTCACTCTGCGTGTTAGGTTGTACATTACAGCAGTGACGTTACCACTATGCTGAACATCAAATGTGGCATATACCAAGGTGATGCACTATCCCCAATGCTGTTCTGCATAGGCCTCAATCCCCTCAATCCCCAGATCAGATCATCAGCACCCAAATTATTGTACCCAAATAATCAAGAAGAGTGGATACAGAGTTACCATAATCCATCTACTCTACATGGACGATGTCAAGTTGTATGCCAAGAATGAGCAGGACACTGAATCACTGATTCACCTAACTAGGATTTAAAGCAAGGACTAGACTAGATAGGTGTGGGTGAATGTGGGTGGGATAGGTGTGGGTGAATGATAGCAAAAAGAGGAAAAATTATCAGACACATGGCAACCATGCAGAAGAGGCACAGAGGATAGCAACATTCAAGTGCCTTCAGAGTCAGCCTGATACCTTACGGTCATATCCTCAGTGGCCTTATGTGAAATCTGGCCCTGCCAGGCAGACCTTCTAGAATTGTAATTATATAATTAAAGAGGGGCATGCTTAAATGGCGATGTAGCGGACCACGGGTAACCCAACCAGTTACATCCGCTAATTCCTTCCCTCAGCCACTCTGGAAGCACTTACAGTATAAAGACACCAATTCCCCCAGTAACTGGACGAGACACAGCTCTGGGAGTACAACTCTGACAATGCTTTATTGGTACAGCTTAATTTGTACACAAACCCCCGCAGGGGGTCTCCTCTCTATTCAACACAAGTCCCTTAGTCTCAGGATGGAGGGGGTGGTTTACACATAACCATCTCCCGCTCTAGGAGATACCAACATTACAACAATTATATACAGTAAGACACATCACATACATTGAGGAAAACTTAGGGGGTTCCATGCCCCAGGGAGGAAATGGGGCACACACAAAACATACAACCCTGGATTGCCCCAGGTCCCAGATAGGAACCCTGCAAATAGCGGGGCTATCGGATGTACAGAACCCATGAAAATATAATGTCTGAACTTTAGGATCTGTACATCGCCGCAATTAGTTCCACGGAATTGCTTGGTTTAGACAGGTAAATTCAAACTTCACGCCTAAACCAAGCAGCGACCTGGAAGGGGAGGTGTTCTGAGCTGAGTCCTTTAACTCGTGCTGGGCATGAAAGGGCATAAACCAAGTTGGAAGAGTAGCTCCTCCTCCTATCGGTTGCCTCAACCCTGCAGCAACCAATCAGCGCTCGTGCCGGACTATCAGAAGAAAGGACGAAAATTCAGTTTGAATAGGAGCTCCTTTTCCTATTGGTCAGCACAGACTTCCAGGCGGCCGGCGGGACTTCTATCCTGGTCCCCAGCGAGTAAAGCGTTCCTAGCCACGCCGGCTGCAGTGGTTCAGAAGCAGCCAATTACAGTCTTAGGAGGGTTATTTAAACCCGAATTACCTTTTTGTCAGTGCCCTGTTGTGGTTTCCAGTACCTGGTTATCTGAGAGTGTGTTCCTGATTGCTTTTTTCTGGTATTTGACTTTTTCTTCGTTTTGACTTCCCTGATTTCTGTTATCCTTTACTTCTGGCTTTCCTCATCGCTGTGTCTCATTCTGTGTCCCTGACCTTGGCAAGTATTTTGACTATTCTCCGGTACGTTAAGTCCGGCCATTCTAAGGTCTGGTTAGACGTTATCCATAGTCCTAGGTGTAATACTATTCTGCATGCTGGATCAACTCTAATCCTGACACTCGCATCTCTCTCTCTCTGGTGGATATCTCCACTTAGGTAGCACCGGGGAGAGCGCTCTTTGAGCAGCTACGAGCACGGACTTGTAAATGCCAGATAGGGAGCCCCTACAATCACTGTCTGCCTCGCTGACAGTCCGACTGCAGGCATGAAGCTCCTGGATCTTCCCTGGACAGTGATTAGGCTCCTTTAGGAGTAGATAGGGCGAGGGCGATCCCCCGCAGGAGGACCTGAAAACAATGCGGGCAATCCAGTGGGCACATGTGGGCATGGCACTCCGTGGCGCCATTCCGTCACAGGTGATAATACAGCCCAACACTTAAGTGTATCATAACACTTACAAATCTAAATAGAACATTCTGTGGGAATGGTTAGGAGTAGAGTTGAGTGGACACCTGGATGTTCGGGTTCACCGGGTTCGGCCGAACATAGGCAAAAAGTTCGAGTTCGGCCTTGAACTTGACCCCGAACCAGAACCCCATTGTCAATGGGGACACGAACTTTTGGGCACAAAAATGACTCTAAAAAAGTCCTGGAAAGGGCTAGAGGGCTGCAAAAGGGAGTAACATGGGGTTAAGAGTAGGACAAGTACCCTGCAAACAATTGGGGTAGCCCCCAAAATATTGGGACATATAAAAAAAGAAAACAAAGAATAAGTGCACTTGAGTTTAACAATGGCTGGGTGAGGCCGGTATAAATGTCTATTCTGCACAAGGTACAGACAAGTCTGGTGTGATCCATGCCTGGTTAATTTTAATAAATGTGAGCTTGTCCACGTTGGGTGTGGACAGGCGGCAACGCTTGTCCGTGATAACGCCCCTGCCATGCTAAACACACGTTCAGACAATACACTGGCTGCAGGGCAGGCCAGCACCTCCAAGGCATAAAGGGCAAGCTCAGGCCATGTGCCCAGTTTGGAGACCCAGAAGTTGAATGGGGCAGACCCATCAGTCAGTAAATGTAGGCATGTGCACACATACTGTTCCACCATGTTGCTGAAATGCTGCCTCCTGCTAAGACGTTCCATATCAGCTGGTGGTGCTGGTTGTTGTGGCGTACTGACAAAGCTTTTCCACATTTCAGCCATGTTAACCCTGCCTTCTGAGGTGCTGGCGGTGCCCCAGCTGCATTGGCGACCTCTTCCTCCTCCTCTGCCTTCGCCTTGTGCTTCCACTGAGCCCTCAGTGTCACTTGGGAATCCCCTCAGCAGCGCGTCTACCAGCATGCGCTTGTAGTCGTGCATCTTGCAATCACACTCCAGTGAGGGAATTAAGGACGGCACATTGTCCTTGTAACGGGGATCCAGCATTGTGGCCATCCAGTAATCAGCACAAGTTAGAATGTGGGCAACTCGGCAGTCGTTGCGCAGGCACTTTGGTGACTCTAGATAACCTTGGGCCGATCGCACGTCCCCGTGATGGCGACAATGCATTCGGATGTCTGCCCTATCAACTTTCCATGGTACTTTCTGCGCCTACCATGGTGACCACGGGTAATGGGGAATCAGGGTTCGATTCCGGAGAGGGAGCCTGAGAAACGGCTACCACATCCAAGGAAGGCAGCAGGCGCGCAAATTACCCACTCCGGACGCGAGGAGATAGTGACGAAAAATAACAATACAGGACTCTTTCGAGGCCCTGTAATTGGAATGAGTACACTTTAAATCCTTTAATGAGGATTTATTGGAGGGCAAGACCCATGCATGCTGCAGCTGAAACTCCACTATTGCCTGCTGCTGCTCGCACAGACTCTCCAGCATGTGGGCACGTCGCATATGAGGCAGTGAGCGGGAAGGCCGAAGTTACGCTGCAGCGCAGACACAGCGAGCAGCAGCAGGGTGAGAATGCCGAAAGTGCGCACAGACGGCCCGCACTTTCTGCAGCAACTCTGATATATCTGGGTAGTTTTTCAGGAATTTCTGCACCACCAAATTCAGCACATGCGCCAGGCAAGGGATGTGCGTCAAACCGGCTAGGCCCAGAGCTGCTACGAGAGTTCGCCCATTATCGCACACCACCAGGCCAGGCTTTAGGCTCAGTGGCAACAACCACTCATCAGTCAGTTGTTCCATGCCCATCCAGAACTCCTGTGGGGTTTTTCCCCCAAACAACATGCTGTCGTTTCCCCCTGGCTGTGCTGAAGTTGGTGGTGAAAGTGTTACGCTGACCGGATAAGGAGGTGGTAGAGGAGGAGGAAGCGGAGTAGGAGGAGGAGGCAACAGGAGGCAAAGAAAAATGCCCTGCAATCCTCGGTGGCGGAAGGACATGCGCCAAACTGCATCAGGCCCAGCCACCACTACATTTGCCCAGTGTGCAGTTAGGGAGATGTAGCATCCCTGCCCATGCTTACTGGTCCACATATCAGTGGTTATGTGGCGTTGCGCAATGCACACCTGATTTTGTCCAACAATCGGTTGTGCCGGGAAGGGATGGCTCGCCTGGAAAAGTAGCTGGGAACTATGTACTGTGGGACAGCCACCGCCATCAGGATTTTAAAACTATCCGTCTCCACCAGATGGAATTACAGCATTTCAAAGGCCAGGAATTTTGAAATGCTGGCATTCAGTGCCAGGGATCGTGGTTGGGCAGGGGGGTTCTTCCTCTTTTCTTTCTGGGAGATGGACAGCTGAACTCTTCCATGGGACAGTGTGGAGATGCTCGTGGATGGTGGCGGACGTGGTGGCATTGCTCACACATCCTGTGTTTGTGGGGTGACAGGTGCCACTGTCACTCCAGAGGTAGAGGAAAAGGCAGAGACAGCAGCAGAAGAGGAAGCAGGAGGAGCCTGAGACCTTTCTTGGTTTTTCAGGTGCTTACTCCACTGCAACTCGTGCTTTGCATGTAGATGCCTGGTCATGCAGGTTGTGCTCAGGTTTAGAACGTTTATGCCTCGCTTCAGGCTCTGATTGCTTAGTGTGCAAACCACTTGTGTCTTGTTGTCAGCACATTGTCTGAAGAACTGCCACACCAGGAAACTCCTTGGAGCTGGCTTTGGTGTGCTTGGTCCCTGTGTGCGGTGGGCAGTAGCAGGTGTACTGTCTAGGAGACGGCTGCTCCGCTTTTGCACCCTGCTCCCTCTTATGCTGTGCTGGTGCCACTGTGCGACCACTGCCTCCAAACTGCACACGTCACTTGCATGACCTTGATTCCATGTGGGGTTTAGGACCTCATCATCCTTCACATCATCTTCCACCCACTCCTCAACCCTGCCCTCCTTGCCGGTCTGCACACTCCAGAATGCCACAGCAGTTGGCACCTGTGTTTCGTCATCATCAGAGACGTGCTGTAGTGCTCTGTAGTCAGCCCGTCTAATATAGGTGGTTTGGGTCAGGCTAAATCTTGGTGTAAATAGTTTATGCCGGACACCTGTGTCCTGTCTTGACTAGCGTGTCTAGGTGTAAATTTTGGTCGCTAGGTCGGGGAGGCCGGCGAGACTAAGCAGATTCTGGTGTACATTCCGTCTGCTAGTTCTCAACCTATCTTGGCTAAGTGTGCCCTGTTGTAAATTCAGCCACTAGACTGTTGATAGAGTAGATAGACTAAATGGGTACTGTTGTAAATTCCGCCCACTAGTTCACTATATGTGGTGTTGGGCAGCGTAGACTAACCAAATCCTGGTGTAAATAGTTTGATAGTTCTCGAGGTGCTGGCCAATTAGAATAGTTGGGATTATTGTAAATGTTGTTAAATATACTGTAGTTGGTGAATTGGTGAATTGTATGTCCTGCTAGAAAGCTTGAGCTCTGCCGTCTAGTGGGAGTGTAAATTGTGTGTATACTGTATAATAGCGCATGGTATTATAATCATTAACATGTACTATAACTACTGACATTGTGTAAAAATTACCAAAAACTGTTGTCTTATGTTATATGTGTAACACCATAACTGTTACTAACTGATCTTTGACTTTAAAACTGTATTATAACCACTTGCTAACCGTACCATAACCACTGATTGTAAAGATGAGGTTACTAGAATGTGATATAGTCGGTTAGTTAAAAGTTGATTTATAATGTGGATAATTGTAGGGTTTGATTTATAGTTACAGAGATAAGTATCTAGTGTTTGGTAAATCTTTGTGAGTGAGACGTCGTGATATCACTGTATGTACGAGAATTCTCTGCGTGTTTTCGTGTGTGTTTGTTTGGCCTAGCAACTGTGCCACGTGGTGCTGTTGCCAGGGAAACAAGTGCTTATTGGAAGTGTGTTTGGGGTATTGTGTTTCTTTGTATTAGACGCTCCATTGCCAGTATGGGTGCGTCTTACTCAAAGATTGTTGATCCCTTGTCGTGTATGTTGAAAAACTTTGCAAAGGGATATAAAGTTTGTGATTTTGGGGTGAAATTATCCCCAAAGCGTTTGACTACATTATGTAGTAGAGAGTGGCCTATCTTGGTGACCGCATGGCCTCCACGTGGTAGTCTTGATCTAACTCTAGTACAACGTGTGCACGCGGTTGTATATAGTAGGCCTGAATTCTATGATCAGTTTACGTATATTGATTGTTGGGAACAGATTGTGGAATAATTGCCTAAATGGATTAAGGTATACCACGAGGAGCAATGTCGCCTCATGGTGGCCAGGACTCGCCTGTCCATCAGGGCCGCAACCCCGCCCATTTTAGACTCTCCCTCTGAGTCTGAACTTCCCTCCTCACCCCCTTACTCCTTCTCTAAGGTTAGAGGAGGTGCTGCTGGTGTTGCCACTCCCCCTTCCCCATTGTCCCTGCCCACTCAATCATCTAGTTTAGAGCCCATCCCACTTGCCCTGAGTCCTCCCCTTCCGGTACCTTCCTCCACTAGTTCTATATATCCGGAATTAACGTCATTTCTGGTTCCTGGTCAGGCTCCTCCCATCCCGGCCCGCAACATCCTGTTGACTGAACTTCCGCCAGGTAAAGGTAACCCGCCTCATTCTCCTTACCTTACTACCCCTAGACCGGAACTTACTATAAAACAGCCTTGCCGAAGTCCTATATTAACCCGACAGATGACTGGTACCCTTCAACCCCGACATTACCAAATGCCCCTTCGACTTACACCGAGCCCAACACACATTGACGAAAATGGCCAAATACAACGGGTAGATCCAGTGTTTGTCTATGTCCCCTTCACCACAACTGATCTATTCAATTGGAAAACTCATAACTCTTCGTATACTGACAAACCTCAAGTCATGACAGATTTTGTTACCTCTATTATACAAACACACAATCCCACCTGTGCCGATTGCCAGCAATTATTATTAACTTTATTTAATTGTGAGGAAAGGACCCGGATTAATCAAGCGGCTATTAAAGCGCTTGAGGAAACGGCCCGTACTCAAAATCAGGCCAGTCCAGCTGCATGGGCTGCAGCCCATTATCCAAATGTTGACCCAAATTGGAATGTGAATGGTGCTGACATGCCCCAATTAAGGGCTTATCAGGAAGCCATTCGTTCTGGCATGAAGGCAGGAAGGAAGAAGGCAATCAATATGTCAAAGATGGCTGAGGTGTTGCAAAAGGTTGATGAGTCACCTAGTGCCTTTTATGAAAGATTATTGGAGTCATACAGATTGTATGCTCCTCATAAGCCAGAGGCCCCTGAGAATTCTCGAATGATTAACTCAGCATTTGTCAGCCAGGCTCAAGGTGATATTAAAAGAAAATTGCAAAAGTTAGAGGGATTTGTAGGGATGTCCATATCACAGCTAATGGAGATCGCAAATAAAGTAAATATGAATAGGGAAACGGAGATAAAGCGGGAGGAAGAACGTAAAATGAGGAAGAAGGCAGATTTGCTAGAGGTAGCTATCACAAGTGTAGAAAGACAAGGAAGGGAGGTGAATAAATGAGTTGAGAATAGGCTGAGTAAGGGACCTTTAAGTAGGAATTAGTGATGCACCGAACGGTTCGCCGGCGTGTTCGCGTCCACCGCGGATGGCGAACATATGCGCGGTTCGATCTGCCCCCTATTCGTCATCATTGAGTAAACTTTGACCCTGTACCTCACAGTCAGCAGACACATTCCAGCCAATTAGCAGCACACCCTCCCTAGCAGACCCTCCCACCTACTGGACAGGCATCCATTTTACATTCATTCTCAAGCTGCATGCTTAGTGAGAGGAGGGAAAGTGTAGCTGCTGTTGATTAGATAGGGAAATGCATAGCTAGGTTAGGGTATACAGTGTCCACTACAGTCCTGAAGGACTCATCTGATGTCTGCTGTAAGGACAGCACCCCAAAAAAACCCTTTTTAGGGCTAGAACATCAGTCTGCTTTTTTTTTTTTTTTTTTTTTGCTGTGCCCAGTGCCACTCACTCCTGGTGTCACAATAGCTGCATTTAAAAAAAACTTTTTCCCTACTATTATAGATTGAATAGCAGTTGGTTGTCTGCCAGCTTCGTAGTCAGGCTCGCAGTGGATACTGTGCCCAGTGCCACCACTCACTCACTGGTGTCACAATAGCGTGCATTTAAAAACCCAAAAACTTTTTTCACTGTTATAGATTGAATAGCAGTTAGTTGTCTTTAAGCGGGTGTGTCAGGCCTACAACGTGTACTCTGCCAGTTCACAGTGCCACTCATATCTGGTGTCACAATAGCTTGCATTTAAAAACAAAAAACTTTTTTCACTGTTATAGATTGAATAGCAGTCAGTGTCCTTAAAGCGGGTGTGTCAGGCTCACAGTGGATACTGTGCCCATTTGCCCAGTGCCACGACTCATATCTGGTGTCACAATAGCTTAAGC